AGAAAGAATAAGGAGCGGCAAGAGCTCAAGTTTGAGGATTCCCAAGACTCCCCAAGGTAATGTTTAAGGAAGATCCAAGCGTCTAATCTTGTGATGCCCCGGAAGGTATCCCATCTTTCGTCTTCACTCCATCGGTAATATCACTTGGAGCTATATTTTTATTCATCACATGAGGCTTGCGGCGGCGGAACTCCTAATCTAGGTTTCTTTTCAGGGGTTTCTGTATTTATAGGAGTTTTTGGCGTCGGTCTCACGTCAGGGGGGGCTCCGAGTTATCCACGAGGCAGGGGCGCGCGCCCATGGGTGTAGGGCGCGCCCTCCACCCTCTTGGATGGCTCGGGACTCTTTTGGCCCAACTATTTCACTCCGGGGGCTTCCTTTGGTCCATAAAAAATCATCAAAAATTGGCACGTCAATTGGACTCCGTTTGGTATTCCTTTTCTATAAAACTCAAAAACAAGGAAAAAAACAGAAACTGACATTGGGCTCTAGGTTAATAGGTTAGTCCCAAAAATCATATAAAATAGCATATAAATGCATATAAAACATCCAAGATGGATAATACAATAGCATGGAACAATAAAAAAATATAGATACATTGGAGGCGTATCAATCAACAATCTTACTACCGTCAACACCAACTTTCTCCCCTCTATGCAGTGGTGTAACACCCCATCTCTACTTGAACATGGTGCTCAACTCCATATATTATTTCCCAATGATAGTTGGCTATCCTATGATGTTTGAATAGATCCGTTTTGTCCTGTGGGTTAATCATGATCTTGGTTGGTATGATTGTATATTTTATTTACGGTGCTGTCCTACGGTGCCCTCCGTCTCGTGCAAACGTGAGGGGTCCCCACTGTAGGGTGTTGCAATATGTTCATGATTTTCTTATGGTGGGTTGCGAGAGTGACAGAAGGTTAAACCCGAGTAGGTGGGTTGTTGCATATGGGATAAAGAGGACTTGATACTTAATGCTATGGTTGGGTTTCACGACCTTAATGATCTTTAGTAGTTGTGATACTTGCTAGGGGTCCAATCATAAGTGCATATGATCCAAGTAGAGAAAGTATGTTAGCTCATGCCTCTCCTTCATATGAAATTGCAAGAATGATTACTGGTACTTGTTATTGATTGCCTAGGGACAAATGACTTTCTTGTTGACAAAAGCTATCCACTTTTATTACCTTGCAATTTATTAGTAGTTTTATTCTCGCAAAGTATTCATAGTTTTATTCTTGCCAAATAGTTTCATACTTGTTTTAGGTAAAGCAAATGTGAAGTGTGCGTAGAGTTGTATCGGTGGTCGATAGAACTTGAGGGGATATTTGTTCTACCTTTAGCTCCTCGTTGGGTTCGACACTCTTATTTATCGAAGAAGGCTACAGGCGATTCCCTATACTTGTGGGTTATCATTCATCATTGTTATACATGTTACACTATATCATTGCACATCTCGGTACACCGCCAGAGGCATTCATATCTAGTCATATTTTTCAGTTATTGAATTGTAAGTAAATTAAAATGTGATGATCATCATTCTTAGAGCATTGTCCCAATGAGGAAAAAGAATGGTGAGACTTATGAGTCCTCGAAAAATTGGGGATGAGGTCCGTAAGACTGTTAAAAAATGAGAGAAAATGAGAAAAGGGGCAATGCTACTATCATTTTACCCCAGTTGTGCTTTAGATTAGCACCATGTAGTTCATATAGAGAGTCTCTATGATTTCACTTTCATATACTAGTGGGAGTTTTATATTATAGAACTTGGCTTGTATATTCCGGTGACTAGCTTCCTCAAACGCTTGAGGTCTTCACGAGCAAGCAAGTTTGATGCACAACCGCTTAGTTTCATATAGAGATCTTCCATACACTTATAACTCCAGTGCATTCGTTGCATGGCAATCCCAATTCCTCGCATTAATACCGATTGTAAGGCCTCTCTATTGCCTAACGATCCATCTAATTGATGCAAGACTTTCTTATACCTTTTATATTCCGTTATAAACCCCAACAATCATTCTCTTTGCCATCCAAAGTGCTAAGTCTTTGGCTCACACTTAATTATTGTGTTGAGTTGAAAAAGCTGAAGCGAGAAAAATCATTGATTCAATTGTTTGATTTGGCACCAAAGTATCATGAAAAATATCTATGTGTTAGGAAGACCGGGCTATGCCATGTTTACATGATTAAATGAGTAGGGATTTCAACCTTTAGCATTTATATTTTGAAGGGCAATGATTATTTAGTAGTATTCATGTGTATTATTATTTTGATGTCAAAATTGATAGACTACTGCCTTAAATTATCACTTCCCAATAATCGTACCGCAAATAAATTACATGATCAACAAAACATGTTAGGTAGCATTTCACATAAAAAATTAGTTTTTATCATTTACTTACTGGAGGACGAATATGAATTAAGCTTGGGGATGCTAATACATGTCCAACGTATCTATAATTTTTGAATGTTTCATGCTATTATATTGGCATTCTTGTATGCTTGATATGTCATTTTATTTTATTTTTGTGGAATGGCCTATTAATTTAGTGCCTAGTGCCAGTTCCTTTTTTCCCATTTATTTGTTTCATAGAAAACTATAGCAAACAAAGTCCAAACATGATGAAATTTTACGATGATTTTTCCGGACCAGAAGAGACCCTCGAAGCTTCGGGAGAGACCAGAAAACCCATGAGGAAACCAGAAGCTCAAGGAGCGCGCCACCAAGACTTATGGCCTCCCCTGAGCCACATCTTGACCTAATTTCTGGTATATAAATTCCCATATATTCCAAAACCCCATAAGTGAGACCCAAAACAATTTTATCGCGACTTCAAGCCTCTGTTCTTTCGTGATCCCATTTGGAGCCTTTTTCCGATACCCCGTCGGAGGCGGAAACCATTGGGGAGGCAATCTTCATCGACCTTGATGCCTCCATGATGATGTGTGAGTAGTTCCTTCAGGACCTATGGGTCCATAGCAGTAGCTAGATGACTTTTTCTCTCCCTCTCCCTTTCTCTCTCTCTCTCTCTCTCTCTCTCTTGATCTCCAATACAATGATTTCTTTGGAGATCTATTCGATGTAATTCTCACGGTGTGTTTGTTGGGATCTGATGAATTGTGGGTTTATAATCAGATTATTCATTGAAACTATTTGATTCTTTCGAGATATATTTGTGTGTGATTTTATAGCTAGGTATGCTTTCCGATCTATGAGTCTTCTTTGATAATTAGATGAGTAGATCTTCATAGAGAGTGGTGCATAGTAGTGGGTTCAATCTTGCAGTGTCCTTACTCTATGATAGGAGGGTTTGCATGGCTACTAAGTATAAAACGATGGGGTTCAAACATATTACTTGGTCTTACTTTGTGTACAAAATGTCATCTTGCTTAAAGCATTACTTTATTTGTCATGAACTTAATACTTTAAGATGCAAGCTGAATAACGGTCTTGGATTGGACTAATAGTAGTGGATGTAGTTGGACTAACGGTCTACTTGTCAAGGACATAATGCCTATATGGATCATGCTATAAAAAACCAGAATCATAACTATGCACAATTCTGTCAACTGCCCAATAGTAATTTGTTTACCTATCGATGTTATACTTATGAGAGAGATGCCTCTAGTGAACCTATGGTCCCTGGGTCCATTCTCCATTATTACTAAAACCTAAAATTGCTCGATGTTTCTATTTCCTTTCATTTCATTTTATTTTATTTGCATACATATCACTATCAGATTTAATCCTTGCAATTGGAGAGAACAAGGGGATTGACAACCCCCTTGTCGACGTTGGGTGCAAGCATTTGTTTTGTGTGTGTGCAGGTACCATTCACATTGTTTGTGTGGCGTCTCCTGCCGGTTCGATAAACCTTGGCTCTTAACTGAGGTAAATATTGACTGCTACTATACTACGCCATCCCTTCCTGTTCGGGGAAAGCCCAACATCTACATCAATTAGCAGAAGTAGTTGCCGCCCTTACAGCCACCTGGTAGAGCCGCCATACCGGAAGGATTGAAGCCGGCATGTCGGACAGCTCCCCCGAGGTCCCTGACGACGACCCCACGATGGCAACGGGGTCCGACGATGACACAACGCCGGAGCCGGCGCCGGTGCATGCCAGCTTCACTATGGAGCAGGTGCATGCACACTACGACACCACCATGGCAGATGAGGAGCAGCATGTGGCGGCCCCTATGTCGGCGTTCCTGCAGGCGTTGGAGGAGAAGAGGTACAACCCGCTCCTCCTCGAGCAACACCGATTGACAGAGGGCCAAATCTACAGCCAGTGCGCAAGCGAGAAGGCCATGGCTACCATGGCCGCGGTGAACCCGAAATTCATTGCGGAGTAGCTGGCGCCCTACGAGGCCGCGCTTGCTCAACGCAGTGTGGCGCGGCCCGACGCTGACGCGGACGAACATGTCACGGACTCCTCCGAGGATGAGCAGGGCATGGGATGCGGCAAGGTATTGTGTCCCATGTGGGTCGATGCGTCTCTCATGTTCTACTCTTCCTCGCCGGAATCCGCACCTCCACCTCGGATTTTGAATCCCGCCACCGTTCATGGGGACGACAGATGGATGACGTGGTCGCCAATGTGGAATATAAAGGAAGTAGACGACGGCCGCCGCCGTAGGGGTGGGTTTCCTTTTTTTCTTTCCTAATTGTTCAAAATGTATTAAAAATCCGTCGTGTTTGCAGGAATCTCATTCGGTTTATATGAAAATCCTTTTTGTTTGCATTTCGTCCGGTTAATTCAAACAGTGTTGAAATGTATGATGACAGCGTTGGATGGACGTCTCCGGCATTAATGTTCACGGACAGGTGCCGGAGCAAATTTACGGGTCGAAGATGCCCTAAACCCACTACGAAACTGTAAACGTAAAATGTACCCAACATTTATTCCAAGTGCTAAACAATGAGAAAGTTCAATACCGATCATAGCCGACACAACGTTGACACGTGAACCAACAACCATCCTGTACAGATTCTACCTTCCCATGGACTCCATCAGCACATTCAAATTGTTCAACGACTCGCCTTCTTCGCTCATGTTTTTCTCCGCCATCTCCTTCAACCTCAGCACCCTTTCCTTGGCACCTTCGTCCTCGAAAATCCTATCCAGCAGCTCCACCACCCTCTCCTTCATCACCAGCCCGCCACCCTCGGCCGACGCAACCCGTAGCCCGACCCTCCAGATGTCACATATATATGTCTGGTTCGTGAACTGGTCGGTGAAGTATGGCCAGCACAGCATGGACAGTCCATTGCGGATGCCTTCTAGCGTGGAGTTCCACCCGCAGTGTGTGACAAAGCAGCCCACCGCGGGGTGTCCCAATACCTGCTCCTGCGGTGCCCAGCCGACCACTTTGCCCTTCGCGAGCCCGTCAATGGCGTCCGCAAACCCGTCTGGGAGCTTGTCGGCCTGCTCAGGCCTGACGACCCACAGGAACGGCCGGCCGGAGGCCTCGAGCCCGAGCGCGAGCTCCTGAAGCTGCGCCGCGGTCATGATGCTGATGCTTCCGAACGCCACGTACACGACGGATCCGCGGGGTTGCGCGTCCAGGAAGGACATGCAGGCGGCGTCGTCGGCGTGCCAGAAGTGCCCCACGGGCGCATGTCTCGTCGGTCGCTGCCATGTGCGGAGCGGGCCGATGGGGAGGATGGTAGCCGGCTCGATGTCGGAGAAGGTGTTGCAGAGGAGGAAGTCGGCCTTCGCTGCGGCGGCCTGCGCTGTGGACGTGAGGTAGTGGAACACCAGGCGCTCGGCGTCACGGTTGCCCATGTAATTCCAGGCGAGGAAGGTCGCGTCCATGGACGTTGCGGACTCGTTGAGATGGAATGAGTTGTTCTCCAAGTTAACGGGTGCTCCTGCAACATAGAATTGAGACTTAACACGCGATTTGAAGCTCAACCGAACACAATAGGGATAAACGATTGCATTTCCTGAAACATCATGTGTAGCATAAAATGATTTGTAAATGGGCGGTGACCACGAATGCATTTCACTATAAACATTTTCAAACTCTTGTAGATATTGAAATAATTTTCGGCAGAATGCAGATTGTCGTTGGATAACATGTGAGCATGTGAGCATGTGAGGCCTACAGTGAAGCCCATAAATTGCAGCAACGACTTTGACGAGAATACAAACACGAGTTGCGTGGCTTATCTTACCGTCGTCATCGATGACGCCATCGCGTATCAGTCTCTTGGCGTTGACCAGCACCGAGAGCACGGCCGCAGACGCCGGCCAGAGCGCGGCCGACGGGAGCCCCCGACGCCTCACAACATCCAGCGCCCACGACATGCCGGAGTCGACCACCACGCATGTCACCTTTCCCAGCCCCTCGCCGGTCGCGTCCTCGCCGTCGAGAAGCTCCTCCAGCTGCGGCGGGATGGCCTCCTGCATGGCGGCGTTGAGCAGGATGAGGTTCTCGTGGTCCCCGGCGTCGTCTATCCCGTCGTCGACCGCAACCAGACGCAGCCGTCCTCCTCCTTCTGATGAGTACGCCGTCGTCGCGCCGGCGGCGGCTGCGACGACGCGGCGGTGGTTGAACCTGGTGTTGACGAAGGTGACGGCGAAGCCGCGGTCGAGGAAGCGGTGGGCGAGCTCCATGAACGGGATGACGTGGCCCTGCGCCGGGTAGGGGAGGAAGAGGGCGTGCGGGTGCGGCGACGCAGGCGCGGCGGAGGTGGCCATCGCGTGCGTGCGTGGGAACGGGAAGTGTTTGTGTGATGATCTGCCGTTTCATTTGCTTGGTCGTTGCTGCTTAAATACGCCGCGGGCCGGAACTGTGCGTGTGCGGGTCAAACCATCAGCCGTGTGGCATGCTTCGGCGGCTATAACGATTCTCAGGTTTTGCATCCAAAAGATCAAGCCGGTACGCAACGCAGCGTTCATACAAACTTGGGGATAGGCTGGGAGGTGTAAGTTGACTGACTTTGATTTTTCGGTCAGCCGACTGACCAAAAATTTCTGTCAGTCGATTCGCTGCTCACGCTTCCTACTGTACGTACCTGCGTGCTACCTACTCGAGCGTTGTAATAGCTGCTCACTTCGTTTCTTTCCCACAAGGAAGTTTATTTAGTAAAGGATGGGCTTATCCGTGAATTGAACTCGCGCTCATACATGTTGTCCAACGTGTGGAGTAGAATATCCGGCTAGGGATATCTGCTAAAGCCGGCAAAGATTTTAACATGTACCACGTGACATACCTGATAAGCAATCCAAAAAATTCAAAAAGATTTTAACATGTTTTTTTTGACAATCAAAAAGATTTTAACATGTTAATTCGTTAGTTTGTGCGCATGCATGTATTTCTTTATTCCTGCTGTGTACCTACTCTTTATTCTCATGGTGACAAACGCACGTACATAACGCAATCTAGTTCTCTTAATTAAGGTTTCAAGCGGTAATCATCCGCATCCCTATTCGATCGAGGCTGAAATAAAAAGAAGTTTCATAAGAAAAAATTGAAATACTGACAATAGTATTACCCTTTAAGAAGAAAAGAAAAAATAATGACAAAATTGGTACTTAATTTACACGTGAATTACAAGTTTTTATAATATTCAAGAATAAGAATACAATAGAGTAATTTTTGCAAAACAGAAGTTCTATAAGAATGAATGAATTAGCCGCATTGGTTTACCCTTAAAGAAGAAAGGATTAATGAAGTTTCTGGGAAAGAAAAAATTTGTGCCATTGGTATTACACTTCAAGAACAAAGAAAATGAAAATATAAATCAAAGAATGATAAAATTTGCACATAATTTACATAGAAATTGTGTTTTTATAATATGCCATAATAAGAAAATAATAGTGAGATTTCACAAAAAAAGTTTCGCCAAAAGGAGTACTCCCTCCTTCCATCTATATAGGGCCTAATGCGTTTTTCAAGGCTAACTTTGACCAAATGTTAGAGCAATAATATATGACATGCAACTTACACAAAGCACATCATCAAATGTGTATGTGAAAGGAGCTTTCAATGATATAATTTTCACATTATGCATGTCATGTATTATTAATTTTATCAATAGTCAAAGGCGGTCTTAAAAAACGCATTAGGCTCTATATAGATGGAAGGAGGGAGTAATTTAGTAGCATTGGTATTACTCTTAAAGAAGATAAAAAATGAAACAAGAACTAAGAATCGAAATTATGAAGTTTTCTAAGAAAAACGAATTAGTGGCGTTGGTATTACCCTTTAAGAAAAAATAAACTTTAAAATAATGAAATCCTCTAAGAAAGAATGAATTAGTGGCATTGGTATTACCCTTTAAGAAAAAATAAAAAAATTCACATAGTTTACACAGAAATTGCGCCTTTTTATAATATGCAAGATGAGCATATATAGTGGAATTTCACACACAAAAAAGGTTTCCTAAAAAGGAATGAATTAATCGCATTGGTATTACCCTTTAAGAGTAAAGAAAATAAAAAAAGCAAAAATTGCACATAGTTTACACAGAAGTCATGCCTTTTATAATATGCAAGATCAGCATATATATAGTAGAATTTCACAAAAAAAAGGTTTACCTAAAAAGGAATGAATTAGTGGCATTGATATTACCATTAAGAAGAAAGAAAATGAAACAAAAATTAAAACAAAATCAAAATAATGAAGCTTTCTAAGAAATACTCCCTCCGTCCGGAAATACTTGTCATCAAAATGGATGTATTTAGAACTAAAATACATCTAGATACATCCATTTCAATGACAAGTATTTCCGGGCGGAGGGAGTAATAAATTATTGACATTGTTATTACCGGAATAAAAACAAAAACTAAATCAAAATAAAAAGGTTTTCTAAGAATAATGTATTAGTGGCATTGGTATTACCCATTAAGAGTAAAGGAAATAAAAAAAATCAAAAATTACAAAATTTGCACACAGTTTACGTAGAAATTGCTCTTTTCTCATAATATGCAAGAATAAGCATATAATAGTGAAATTCCACAAAACAAAAGTTTCCTAAAAGGGAATGAATTGGTGGCATTGTTATTACCCTTTAAGAAGAAAGAAAATGAAACAAAAACTAAAATAAAATCAAAATAATGAAGTTTTCTAAGAAAGAATGAATTGGTGGCATTAGTATTACCCTTGAAGAAGAAAGATGACTAAAAATATTAAGAATAATGAAAACATCTGTACAAAAATTATGTTTTCCTATAACATGAAAGAATAAATATAATAGTGCGATTTTGAAAAATAAAACTAAGTAGGAATGAATAGTGGCATTGATGTTACCCTTTAAAAAGAAATAAAATCAAACAAAAAACAAAAATTAAATAAAAGCATGTTTTTCTAAGGTAAAATGAATTAGTGACATTGGTATTACCTCTAAGAAAGAAAATGAAAACACAAACTTAAAAAAACTTTTTTACAACTTTGCACTTTTAATACGTAAAAATAAAGACATAATAGCGCAATTTTTGCACTCTAGTATAATTTATACACTTGTTACATATTACTTACATGTATATATTTTGCGCACACCAAACATCCACAAATACCCATAAAAACCGACTAAAAAAGAAAAGCAAAATTGCAGACGAATAGAAAATGAGGAAGCACTCTAAACCTATAAACAGGCAACATGGAATGGGCTTCAGCCCAATAAGAAATCGACTGCCCCAGTATAGTGGTCTTTCGAAAATCAAGGCCCAAGACATGACAGTAGTCATAACAGGAAAAAAAAAGAACACAAATCTTGAAGCAGAAATCAACGGCCCAAAAAATCAACTGACCCAAATTGAATTTCCAGGCAACTTACATCTTTCCCTACTAATAAAGCACGGAGTGCTTCTGGTCGTCCGTCGTCGCTGGCGTTTTGCGAAAAAGCCCCTCGGTTTATAAAAAATCAACCCGCAGTCCCTGTTTTAGTATGGGTCTCTATATAACGTTTCATTTTGCAAAAAAAAACCTGTACTCATTTGAATTTCACTCGCTGTCCTCCCGTCATCTTATCCATTCCTCCTGCGGCAACGGCGGCGGCTACGCCCATTCCGTCGTGCGCCGTCGACGGCCGTCGCCGGCGTGTGGCCACGGCGAAGGTGGTCGGCCCAGACGGCTCTTTGGTGCAGTTCGCGGCGCCCGTCATGGCGGGCGAGGCGCTGGGGGACGTCGCCAGCGCGTCGAGCTTCCTGTGCAGCGCCGACGAGCTCCGCTTCGACGCGCCCGCCCGTGCGCTGGCGGCCGAGGAGGCGCTGCAGCCCGTGTGGCTCTACTTCGCGAGCTCCGCTTCGACGCGCCCGCCCGTGCGCTGGCGGCCGAGGAGGCGCTGCAGCCCGGGTGGCTCTCCGGCCTCCACGAGTAAGCTTCTCAATCTCCGACATCCTGCCCCCGTGTATGATTTGGATTGAATTCGTGCCGTGTCCTATAAGAAGGAAGGGTCCTCGGCCGGAACCTCCATCAGGTTGCGTGCTTGGACCAGCAAATCCATCAAATTCCGGAGTACTTGGACCAGAAAACATGTCGCCTTCGAGTTCACCGGAGGAAGAGACGCCGAGTTCGACGGAGGTAGAAGAACATCCGTTGAGCCGTCCAATATCGACAACGGCGGCTACAGCAGACGTATGTAGCCCCTTGAAAGCCAAATCACTACAAAGGAAATCAAGGGTAGCCCCTGTTTCTCTGTCTGCCACAGAATTGCGAACCTGTTCTTTTATTCAGTACATAGTTCAACAATTTTTAGCAAAGTTTCAGTTATTTTCTAACTGCTTTCTTCAGAGTTCAGAAATTTGTTTCAAGTCTGTAATGCTTCCACTAGATTCATAGATGCTACACTTCTGTTAGCTACTCTGCATCCAGTACACCTGCTCAATATTTGTAATTTCGTTGATTCAGAGTTTCATAGGTAATTCGCATAATGGATTGTCATACATAATTTGCATTATGTTGCATTATGTTGTACTACCAACAACCAAAGGGAGTGCATGGTTTTGTGTTCGAGCCTCCAACAGGCTATGCATGCCCCCAATGAATTCTTTTGTGCTGTTACAATCATCAGTCGAGATTTTAAAAAATCATATATTTGTGATTCCTAAAAACTCAAAACAAATCAAAAAAGTTGAGTTTCATACAAATTGTAGCTTATGGGGAGTTGTTGCTCTTGGGGATGCACATTGCCGTGCAAAGCCTTGTTGACCTTCTCTGACTTTTTAGCCAAAAAAAGGGTCATTGCTGTGCTAAGTGATTCAGAGTTAAGTGTGCATGCTGGCCATATTCTGAGACTGATACAAGGTGGGTGGTTGTAGTTAGGATTATAATGTTAATCTGCGGACACATCAAACAAGCATAAATTATAATGTTAATCTGCTGCTGCTGCCCTTTGTACACAAGTGGAATATGTTAATCTGCTTCTGCTGCCACACAAAGAAAAGTGCAGTGGAGTAGCTACTGCTCCTCTCCAGAGCACGCAGCCAAACAGAGATGCAGTATATAGAGACAGACACTCAAATAAATGATGGCTGAGACAAAATCCAATGTACTGAATAAATCTACGCCTGTTTCAGTTTAGTTTTTCTGAAAATTGGTGCTACTTCCGATTGTTCACAATTTCAGTTTGGCTGATATGATACAAGCTCCTGTTTCAGTATTGTTACTAGCCAAGGATTGAACCAAGAAATTTCATGTTGCTGATTACATATACCTGAACATGGTGGCTTCAATTTGGTTACAGTAATTCTTGGGC